TGTTGATGGAGACATGGAGCCCATTGCCTTTCCATTGGACCTGGTTGAGCTGGATAGTATGTCTGCTGCTCATATCAAGGAACAGATTTGGGTTGCTTGCTTAAAAATGGCTTCACTGTTGAGTTGCTGAGAGAAATCCTCATTGGATTTTGCAGTGATGGGGCCAGTGTCATGCTGGGAGTGAAGTCAGGTGTTGGGAAGTTGCTCCAGGATGACTTCCCAGGCATCATACTATGGCACTGCCTTAATCACAGACTGGAGCTTGCTGTTGACCAGGCACTGGATGTGACAGGGGGAACAAAGGACTTCCAGGCATTCATGGACAGCCTATATTCATTATATAGCCAGTCACCAAAAAACATGCGGCAGCTGAGTGAATGTGCTCACAACTTGGACATCGCCCTCAGGAGGATTGGAAAAGTGTTCAGTGTTCGCTGGGTAGCTTCTTCATGGAGGGCAGTCTCTGCAGTTTGGCAGTCTTATCCAGCCTTGGCACAACATTTCCGTGAGGCATCAGAGGATGATACAAGGGACAGCAGAGAGAGGGCCAAATTCAAAGGTCTGCTTTCTAAGTTGTGCTCCATCAACTTCCTGAAAAGTCTTGCACTGATGGCAGATGTTCTGACTGAACTTAAGAACTTGTCAGAAATTCTTCAGAACAGGAAGACCACACTCCCAAAGGCCCATGACATCATGACGACGTATGTCAAACGCATAGAACGTTTCAATCGCTACCCAGGACAACATGCAGTTGATGCCAGTCAGGCAGAGGAAGTGATGGAATTCAAGGGAGAGGAGTTAAGAGTTGGCAGGTCTCCCATCATTGACTCTGCTCAGTTCATCCGAGCAGTGGCAGACAATATGAAATAAAGACTCTTCACAACCACAGCAAACAGAGCACGCCAGTGATGCAGCCAACCGAAAAGAGGCTTATAACAGCCTTATCAATCAAATGGCAGTCCTCAACCCTGACAACTGGGACCATGACAATCCTCGATTTGGAGATAATGAGGTGAGGGCTTTGTGTGATGTCCTACATGTGAACCAACAAGAGGCCCATCTTGGATTCACAGAATACAAGGCCAGTGGAGGAAGAAACATTCCCAACAAAATGAAGAAGTTGCTCATGGCAGTGGACACACTGTCTCCAAGCAATTCTGACTGTGAACGGGGATTCAGCACAATGAACAACATCATAACTGAGTATAGGAGCAAACTTACAACAAAAAATGCAGCAAATCTCCTCTTCATCAGCTCTGTGGGACCACCATGCAGACAGTGGGATCCACTGCCTTATGTGAAGACCTGGCTGGGCAAAGGAAGAAGAGCAGCCCACTCATCAAGCTGCATGGCTCGCCGGTACACAGAAGAGGAGAGCTACTTCAGCCCTCTGTGGAAAATGTGGAAAAGTGTATAGTTTACCTCCCTCAACATGCCTTGCTAATGGTCTGTTAAGTTTTGACACAAGTTGTATGCACAATTGAAAATAAAAAATTGACTATATATATTGTCAAGTGTTTCTAATTTCTACCCCATAAAGGCATTAAAAATGTGAAGTTTGTGTTCAGGGATGCATGAAGCTGGGGGCGGGAGGAGAACAATATGAACCAATGAAGGTCGGGGTAGCATTATAGTACCTGCAAGAAATTCAAACCACTTTCACCCCTGGCGGCACGACAATCAGACCGAACCCCTCCTTTGTGCCCAAGAGCCTAAGGAGTGCGTTCAGGTCGAGGGCTATTCAGTTAGGGGGTTTTAGTCTTCCCCTCCAAGTTTTATCTCTTGGACATGTCTGGCTCTTTCTCCTCGTCTGTGCTTGCTGGGGCAACACAGGACTGGTGAGGAGGGGGGGGGCGGTGGGTCAGTGGGCATCTGACCCCCTCCCCGGACGTAATGCGCCTTTCCCGGGCCCTCTGAGGGGTCCCGGGATAGGCGCGGTGCGCACTGGCCCATTACGAAGCGGAAGGGCTCTCCCCCCCTGCCGAGACGCAGGAAGGGGGTAGCCCTCCACACTATAGTCCACACACACTCTGCACTGGGTCAGTGTTTGAGTGTGGTGCATGGGCACTTGCACTCTCCCTGTGATCCTTAGGGACTCGGAGAGGTGGTGCAGAGTGAGCCCATACAGGGCTGGGGATTCTCCCCATCTGCCTATGGGCGGAGGGGCCCTCAGCACTGTTTTTCGAGCACACTTTCTGCGAGGCAAGCGCAGCAGAGTGCGCTCTGTCAGCCGCAGCCCAGACTTCTCCACGGTCACAACCGGGGTAAAAGAGAATGTGGGGCAGCAGCTGCTGACCAGAAAAGCCGGTCAGGGGCAGTGGGGTGGAATGGTATTGTTGGATGACAGTGCGTGTATACATCAGGGCAGAGATGGGGACTTGAGTTTGTGACTCGGACTCGAGTCGCACTTAAGTCGCACACACAGAGACTTCAGACTTGACTTGGACTCCTGCTCAAAAGACTTCGGACTCGACTTGGACTCGTGTTTTGGGACTCGTGAACAATCATTGTGTTTTCTATTTTTGGCGTATTAAAGGTGGGGTAGGTACATTTGAGAAACCGGCTCGAGATCGCTAGAATTTGAAAATACACAACCGGAGAAAATCTGCCACTTCCTCACAGAGCTCCTCCTCCAACACACACGAACGCGCACATGACCAATGAGGGCACGAGATAAGTTTGTGCCCCGATGGGAGGCTGACAGGCGGATAGGCCATCCAGTTATTTTAGCCGGGCCGGCTATCGGGATGTTAAGAGCATTCCATGGAATATAATAAAAAGTGTATCTCGAGCCGGTTTCTCAAACTTACCTACCCCACCTTTAACATTAACATTAACATCATGGTAACACCATGGCGACCGGCGGCACACCTGCAGCTGTATCGCTTGTAATTAGGTTCAACTATAAAAACTTCGAACAAAACGCCGGCGGCACCAACAAAAGGAGTGCACACTGCAAAGTCTGCAATATTAAAATCAAGGATGCTGGTGCAACAACGTCAAATTTCATCAGGCACTTGAAAACTCACCCGGAGAGGTCAGTCACATTAACGCATATGGACGGTTAGCAAACATGTTTAGCTCAGCATCAGCTATGTAATGTTAACTTAGCTTGCTACTAGCTTTGTAACTGAATATTTGAAAAGATGAGTGAATGTTTGCTTGTCACACTTGTTTGCGTTGAGTGGCGTTGACATCCAACTCTTGACATGACATAAAAAAGGTCGGTAACGTTAATCATTACGTTCCGCTGCCACGTTAAACGTAGAAAAATACATAGTTACATACATAAATACATCTGTCGGTTTATAGGCAGGTTACAGGTGTATTGTTGACCACGTAACGTTAATGTTACAGGTTTATCAGGTTACCATTACACTGGGTTTGAGTGAGAGGATAGAGGAATATGTTTATTCATAGTAGACTTAAAAGATGTAATTAGAGACCCAGTGTAGTTAAACAATACGGTTGCAGAGGTCAAATTTTAACATTTTTGTCCACTGGCCAAATGGCTAGCCTAGGGAATGTTGAAATGTTACCAGCCACTCAATAGATTACCATTGTTATTTTTGGCTGGTGCGTGCAACATACAGTACCAGCCACTTGCATGATTTACCAGCATTTGGCTGGTAAATGGTGTTAATGGTAGATATCTCTTTTGGAACAGGTCATGTTTTAATATCACCAGTTCAGTATATTTCAGATAATATTGCAGCAATAGTTTTTTAGTTGCAAATGGCACAGAACAAATGTTTACTTTTAAGTACTTTTAACACAGTTTCCCTGCGGGGGATTAATAAAGTATTTGTGATACTGATTTCTGATTCTGAAGTGTTTTGCTTATAAGTTGTTTGCATTTAGCTAATGTGATGTTTTTCCTCATATTGCATTGCAATAGCCTGTTTAAAGTGATCATATAACAAACAACTAATCAGTACTGATACTGTATGCTAATAGATATAGGAGTGATAATAATAATACAGTAAATGCTTTGAATTTCTTAGATATAGCTGTGCAGTATTCTTAACAGACTGGATAGCAGCAGACAATATAAGGCTTATTACAACCAGAAGAGACATGAGACTTTTATTTTTTAGAGACTTGAGACTTGACTTGGACTTGTGACCAAAGACTTGAGACTTGATCAAGTCTCACCCCACAAAGACTTGAGACTTGACTTGGACTCGTGACCAAAGACTTGAGACTTGACTTGGACTTGCAAAAAAAGACTTCTCTTCTCTCTTCTCTGATGCAGAACATCTCTGCATCAGGGCTCCACCCACTGTACCCATAGAGTCCAGTAGAGGGTGGAGCCTGTGAGAGATATAACGCCGGGTTACGTATCGTAACCCTTGTTATATTAACACAGGCGGAGCCCTCTACTCAGGGCACTGTCTGTCCTATTCCGCTCGCTGAAGAGAGGTGTAGGATGACGGTCAGGAGGCGAGGCCTCCTTTTATACGGTGAGATGCGCGCGCATTCAGGTACTGTAGGCCCGCCCCAAGGCCGGCTACGTCTATAGAAATCTCAGTAGGTGAATGCTTGCATAGAGGGTAGTACCCATAGAGTACAGTAGAGGGCTCCGCCTGTGTCAATATAACAAGGGTTACAATACATAACCTGGCGTTTCAGCCCTGTTTCAAAAGTGCTGATTCTCTGTTTTTTACTTTAGATGAAAATAAAGTGCAACTCCCAACGCCCCTCGGCGAGATATTTGGTTAAAAATAACACAATGGTGCTCTGCACAAGCCAAAAAAACGTTATGACATCATAAAGTGGCCAAAATCTGATCAGCTCATTTTCAGACAGGTTTTATATAAATGGATCAGGACAAAAAGTCAGCGAATCTTTTTTCCTGAAACTTTCAGAATCTCTTTACACAAAGGAGACACATGTTTAAGTATAAAGTACAGGAAAAAGTAGATTTTGCATAATAGGTAGGAGCAGTTAAAAATAGATAACGAAGAAAGGGTTAATAATTGTCAAACTGCAGCACCAACCAGTTTTAGATTATTCAATGTGTCTATCAGGAATAGTCCGTGTTGGTAGACCAGGAACTCTCTGGGGTTAAGGGCTGAAAGGTCCAGAGGGATCAGCTCTCCCTCACATTCCCACTGTGCATCCAGGACGTCTACGAAACTCTTGCCTCTGTCTGACTCTGGACAAAACACGGAAGAAGACATATGCCTTGTTCTATTAAATATATGTCACCTCAGTAAGAAGCAAAGTATTACCGTCACCTTTTTCTACCCGTGTGACTTACTGCAATAAAAACAAACAACCCAAAGTCAGACCTACCTGAGAGCTCTCCTCTAAGAAGCCCAGCCCCACAGGCCCAGCCCTTCAGCTGAAGATCCATCCCCTTCAACAGCTGGAACAGAGGAGAGAGCTCCAGCAGCTTGGTCCACTCCTTTTCTGGGTAATATAAGCAATGTTGATGGATAACGTTAGTGTGACACACGACAAGTGACGTGTTCAAACTGTGTATTATTATACATGACCTAACCTGGAATAGTGGGGACAGTGATACTTCTTGAAGGCTGACTGGACTCTTTCATTGGCTGGCTCTCTGTCAGGAAAATAACTTACAATTAAAATGATTAATTTACATCAACGGATTATTACGATATTTTGTAGAGGTTAGCATAGCTGGAAACAATAAATGTGGGAGAAAAGAGGTGGTGCTTAAATCCTAAATGTGCAGGTATGGATGTGTGAATGTCCTTTCCCAGAAGTCTATAACCTGAATCTAGTACAGAGCCCTCAAAGTAAATGGATCGCTAACACAGCACTGAAGCAGAGAACAGCACAATAGGGTGAAAGTGAGCTGCTGGGTAATTTGTTCTTGGGCTCACCCTGGGAGAGAATGCCAGAAGATGCGGTGTGTCTTTGTGAGATGTGTGCTGGTGTTGAGCTGGCCTGCAGAACAGTATCCTGGGATTGAGCTAAATGGAGAGGCTCCCTCAAAGACTGGGTGGAGATTCCTTCAAAAACACAAACTGTGTGAGACCTTGCAAGCCACAACAAGCTGACAATCAAGCCAATTCATAAACAAAAGAATCCAAGTATCTCCTCAAGCAGCTGGGAGGCTTTGTTTGTGTTTTTTTTTTCTACATACCCAAGACACATTATTTTGACGCACTTTACTTTAGAGGGCTAGTTTTCACAGGAATGTAAGCTATGTTTTCTCCTTGTAAAAAATACCCCTAGGGTTGTTATACCTGCCAAGACAAGTCTTATTTTTCAACTCTTGTCAGAATCATTATGAGCACCTCATTTGTCATTCTTCTTTTATCTCCTACCCGTTTCTGGCATTTTAAAAGACATAAAAAAACAGAGCAGCACTCTGGAGCCATTGATTTCTTTCTTCTGCAGACATCAACAAGGTTATTTTTTTGACTACACACTGGCTGTTTCCCCTTCTCCCTGCTCTTGCTGCATTTTGACAATAAACATTTTTCATATTATGCATTCGAAGTACTGACACCCTTTCTGAATTTCCCCTCGGGGATTAATACAAAAGAATGTCTTATTTTTCTTCTCCACACATACAGATGCTATTACAAGGCTTAAGTGGCTTGAGAAGCACATACCTTTCACCACAGGCACAGAGGCTGTCCAGACTCTAGACGCTAAGTCCAACCCATATGCCATCTTTGTTGGAAAACCTGAAACAAGTCAGAAGTCATGATGACAAGCCTGCTTATAAAATCTATTATTTTCTTAAAAAGACCAAAACCAGCTACGAATTGATACTTCTAACAACTGTCTGTTAAGACGAAGTCTGATCTACCAGGGTTCATTTTCACCAAAGAGCTCAATACTGTTTTAGAGAATACCATAGAGAACACACTGGTTAACATATTCCTTACATTTCATAAAGGTACTGTTTGCGAAGAGTCAATCACAAATACTACTACTCTGTTGTTGATAACACTAAATAAAGCACCATATGTGTATAAACAAAAAAGACAGAAAGCAGTCCTGAACAAATGCAACATTTGACCCTGTTTCAATTGTTTGTTAAAATCTACAGTGCCCAGCTTTTTTGGAAAAGTAGTTGACCTTTTAGAAAATTTAAGATGTTGGTCTTTTGAAGACATCATGGGGCTTGGTTTTGGTCTTTTCAGGGGATGAAAAATAAAATGAAACCACCAGCATTATCCTTTGACCGCGATAAGAGAATGTGTGGGAAAATGTAGATAATGGCTTTAGATGTAGTCATTTGCACGCTCACTTGGAGTATAAATACTGTACCAGGAAATGTGCAGAGCAATTTCATATAATAATGGCACTATTCAATGGGGGCTTGTCCTTTCTCTGGGACAATATGTACTGCATATCTGTTTGCTTTCTATCATATATTAGGACCCTTAGCATGTAGTATATATAGTACCCTACATATTAGGTACCTGATATGTGCTGATTGCAGGTGTTGGGGGAGAAGCAGGCAGGCTGTTTATCTTCCAGGAGCTGGTTCAGTTTCTCCAGCAGAGGCAAAGCCATCTGCTGAAGCAAACCCCTGACCTCCACAGTCGGTGTGCGTCCAATGCACTGGACCAGACCGTATTCCTTGTAGCAAAAGTTCCCACATAATACTGCCTAGACAGAGAGAAAGAGAGAGGAAGCTCAGCATACCACTGGGAGACACAGAGATACCCATCTTCTATAATAGGGCACATTTTGCTTTGATTGTTAAACAAACTTGATGGCAACATGATGATGAAATCCAAACAAAATTAGCCATAAACTTCCTTCCATCATATACTTAAGTTTATTTATATAGAGTGTTATTAATGTGGATTGACTGAGTGTGTCTTGACCTGCGCAGTGTCGGCACGGAGCTGAGAAAGGTGCCTGACAAAGTGCAGAGCATTAAGAGCAACCTCCAACTCTGTCTGTCTGGAACAACACTGCTCCCACAACTCTGTCTGCCTCAGCTCTCTGTCCTGGAGGAAGAATAAACACTGGCTTGAGTGAGAAGAACCATGAAGTCTTATTTACATTTAGACGACAATGTTAAAGAGAGCATCCCATAGCACCGGGTTGACATCAAAGTTTAATAACTAAACTTTTGAAAGCTCCCTATATCATAATTAGTCATATGCATTTGGCACTGATGTGATGAGAGGGATGTCAACATCTGACCCAACTGTGTCACAAACAATTGAGCTGCAGGGCGTAAAATTGACCAGAGAGCCATTAATCGGACCATAACGTGGACGGGTGTATTCCAGTCTCCTCCATGGGTTGTCCATTTTTCTTTGTCTTGTTGTAGCTGCTCCATACACACATCAAGCTTATCAAGGCCTGACACAAGCTCCGAGTGCCAAACGCACTGCCGATCCCACTCCTGCTCATCCCCTATACACACAGACAGATACACAAAGATATGCTGCCAACCCAAATAAAACATTGAAAAGTGAAATTATGTAAATTATTAAACAACTGAAGGGTGCGATATGAGACACTGGCATGAAGCATCTCTCTTTTGGCAAGCAATGAATATAAACGCAGAGGAGGTCATGAGTGTGATATCCCTTCATGCTCTTCACTCGTTCAGCATGCCAGCCAATTTACCCAGTGTGAGGATGTCTAATACATGCGGAGACAAGATCAGAGCCAACTGGGTGTGCTGAGCCGCTCTCCTTTGCGCCTCGTTCTGCGCCGATTCCTGCAGTTCCAAGGCTGCTTCGTTGAGCTGCCTCCCTGACCACTGAACCTGCAGCAGAGAACACACTTACTGTATACTTTGAATGTAAAAAAGAGAAGGTACAGATTTGAATAATGGCACACAAAAAGACACACTCAATTTAAGAACCAAAGGGATGGAAGGCACATGCACATAGTCATACACAGAGATGCAGTGACAGCACATTGCTTTAACTCTACTTTTGCACAGTATGCCCTAACCACACATGTGCTTCCTTGCAGTGCACAAATAGGCATGAATAGCTTTTCTAGCATTCCTTTCTAATGATGTTTTCCCCCGGCATTCATACACTCCCCCTCATTCCCAAATGCTCAAAAAGGAACCCCTTTGAATTTGTTTCTCCTTTATTCAGAGGCCAGGCTATATAAGATATTTACAACCAAATCAGCAATCTCCCCCTACTGACCTGATAAGAGTCTTCTTCTATGGCTCTAAAGAGACACTGGAATAGAGCCGAGTCCAGATCAGAGAAAATATCTTCCTCTCGCTGCCTTTGCTGCTGCCAGTAAGTGTTTCGCACACACACCTCTCTCTGCAGCGCCTCTACCTGGCAAATAAAAGAATAAATAGCAGCAACAAAGGAGAGTACATCAGATTTCCTTAGTTCAAACTGAATTCAATGGGCTGCTAAATGAAATGCTAGAGATTTAACACATGAAAGACTTGAGTAGCTTTTATCAAATTCACACAAGTCTCTCCTGCTGAATTAACAAGGCTGTAAAAACTAAGTAGGATGATTTACATTTTACTATAGTCCAATTGAAGGTTTTTGTGTTTAATCATTTTTGTTAAATGTATTGCTCTACCTGCACACAGTCAGTTTGATCTGCCACAGTTAGCCAATAGGAAGCTGTGACAGGTACAACGTTTTTTCTGGACACGTCCAGTCTGACACCAACCACGGGGGCCAACACGCCTGTCACTGGGTCAACAGTCTGAGATCCATAACGGATGGCCACTAGTCCTGTGAAGTGCAACAGCATAGTAACAGAAAAGCATACGTGTTTATTTCGGTACTGTTTAAAATAAGTGGATTAAATAAACTGTGTCTGGTGACCTGGGCATTTGTTTGTTTTTCAAAGTACCTTTTCCATCTGGGTCCTCCATGGTTCCTGCCAACGCTGTTATATTCCCAGAGACAAGGTCAGTCTGACACCCCAGCACAGGCACACTAAGACCAGATCCCATTGGGTCAGGGTACTCCATCCCCAACAAAGCTGGTACAGACATGTCTGAACCGAAAAGAGGCATCTCTCCTGGTTGGAACAGCACAGGAGAAATCAAAGGGTTACTATAGAGGAAACAAAATAGTGTTTGGCTCGAAAAAAAGAAAACTGGAAGTATTTCAACAAATTTGAATTGGCAGCACATTACTGGCATTATAGAGATTCAGAAGTATTCAATTGTATTTTTTCTTTTAATGTTTATTTTATTATCTTTTCTTTTTAATGTAAAGCACTTTGAATTGCCTTGTGTTGAAAGGTGCTCTATAGATAAACTTGCCTTGCCTTGCCTTTTCTCTCCAATACAAAAGACAGACAATTATACAGTACATTACTTCAGTGCTATTTTAGGGTTTATGTGGTTTAGATCAAACAAACTCTAAACTAAAGTAAATACAGAAAGATCGACATACATGAAACAGGGTCGTGGCTGCATGAAAAGTCTGGCAAAGCATATAAAAAAATAAAAAAGGAAAAACTTAAAATCAATTTATCAAGAAGAACACATGCACACAACCACTATGGCTAACATTATGATAGATATAAACATGCCACGGTGCAATTTGCTTTCACATTACAGAATATAAATACTGTGAGTTCTATCTTTTTGATGAAGCAGATCTCTTAAAGTGCATTGTTGGTACTGTGGTGAACTGCTTGTTATTGCAGTTTGATGACTACAACTTCAAGTTAAATGTTTTCATGTCTTTATCTTTATCAATCAATCAATGTTTATTTATATAGCCCAACATCACAAATGTTACATTTGTCTCAGTGGACTTCACAGTTTGTACAGAATATCAGTATGATATGATCTCATGCATCCATGTTGGAAATATTGATGGTAATAGTTCTGTATTCCCCTTGGGAGAATATGGATATTTGTAATTATATTATATAATAATGTGTTTATGCTGGACAAGCTGGTCACATTTTCAGTTCCTGGTGTGGGTGGTTGCTTGTGACAAATAAAGGTTAAGTAAAAAGTGTTTAAGGTCGGAAAATGTCATCCTCCTCATGAAACCTTTCAAGGGCTAAAAAACAAATAAGAAATGTTATGCCTTCAACTATTTTTGTTCTCGGTTGCAGGCAGCAAATAAGGACAGCATTGTGGCATTCAGAAGGGCAAAAAGTGTATGTTTAAAAGTTAGGTACATCTAAAATATTGTCCACTCTCACTTTCAAAAGCAGCACCAGCCTTCAATGGATGAATTACTATTAAAGTATCAAAATAAAGTTGTGAAGAAGGAACAGATAACATGTAAGCAAATACCCAGCACCATGTTTTCTTTCCTAATCAGCAAGTATGGCAGTGATGACAAGTAAAAAGGAAAATAATAGCTAAAAGGAAAAACAAGTGTTTCCTACTTTATGTTATGCTCTTAAATACTTGCAAATATTTTAGGAAAATAGGAGGACAGTGACCACTTAATTCTTAGCAACAAAAAGTGAAGCAGGAGATGACTCAGACACCACAAGAATTAAATTTGACTTTTCAAAGAATTGCCCTCAGGGGAACTTTCCTCACCAAGACTCCCTCCATCCTGCTGGAGACCTGCGGTCCAATCCAGCATGAAACACAGTCTGGTCTGCAGCTGCAGCTGAGAGTACAGGCTCCTCCCCCAGGCCTGCTGAAGCTCACTGGCTGCAGCGAGAAGATGTTCGTGTGGACTGCTCCCTCTCTCGCCGCTCTGAACCCGCTGCAATGTCTGGTCTGATCCCCACTCCTCAGTCAGTGGTTTCAGGATCTCCAATACTTTGAAAATCACTGCCAGAACCTAATTGAGAAACAACAAAAATCTATCTCTTTAACTTTCTGTTATGTATCATGTATCTTTTTCAACGTATTAACCTTATGGTTTGATTTATTTGTAAGCTGCTATTTTCCAGTTAGAGTAAAACTAAAACTAAACTCTGCAGCCAACATAGAGGGAAGAAGGACCTATAAGTCCTCAAAAATAAGTATTTAAACAATATGTTTTGCCTAAATCCAAGGCCTTCAAACTTATCCCGGACCTTGCCGTCTAGAAGGGCCTGGTACCCTCCTCCGTTAGGCAGCAGTTGCCCAGCCCGTATGTTGGCCCCTCCCACTCTCCCCATCCGCCCGCTCAGAGGTTCGATGAAGGGCTCGGCCAGCAGAATACCACCTACTGGCAGCACGGCTCCTACACATACACACAGAACAATGTTAACTCAAAGAAGGGAACCCTGACATAGGCTGTGCTGCAGACTCACCAGCACAACTAACCTGCAACTGGATCTAGACTGACCCCGACAGTGAGCACCACATCCCCCGTCCTGGAGTCCAGCATGGGACAGCCCATCTGTATGGGCTGCGGCAGGCGGGTGAGGGGACAGACATGCAACCCTCCCAGTGGGTAGACTAGTCCTGTCTGGGGGTGGATGGTTACAGCCAGAATGGGCACTGGGACCCCTGTGTCTGGGTCTGCCATGGGACATCCCAACTGCAGTCTCTGGCCCGGCCGGAGGCCTCTGAGCCGAGCACTGGGCAGAGGCCGGTCTGAGTGGCAGGAGGTCGGGTAAGGGATGAAAGGAAGGAGGGGACTATCCCACTTCCTGTTATCTTCTGAGAGTAAGAAAAGCAACAGGTTAAAAATATGTACACCCTTGAAAACTCTTTTTTTATTTCATGAATAAAAAACTAATAAAAGTTATACTTTGTGCAGAAAATGTAATAAAAGAAATAAATTTGCTTTCTAAGCTGAAGCCACAATTTCAGTGGTGCCTGGCTTTTAGGGGGGCTGACAGCAAAGCCTTACCTAGGACTACTATAAGCTATTTGAAGAAAAAGGTGGCTGAGCTGCATTAAAAACACCTCTACTGTATGTAATGTCACATCCTGTGGATTACTAGTTATCAACAGTTTAAAGTACAAGGGCATCACTTGTGATTTGCTTTCATCATGAAATGCTTTTTCATTAGTCCTGATTTAATTTTAGGCATTAAATGTGGGGTTTTTTCCCTTTGAATTCTTATGAAGGTAAGATTTGTATTATAACTCCTTATGATATTATCTAACCTTCACAACTTGTTTCTTCTGTTTGGTTGTTGTGTTTCTGCAGCTCAAATGTCTTATGCAAAAATAAATCTCATCCCCCAAACCCTACAAGCGCCCCTCATGTTACCTGAACATGAGTCAGTTGTGAAGACTAAAGTTGAGCTTGCAGGATCGTAGGCCACATTGCCAGCTATGGGCATAACCCTGCCTGTCTGTGGGTGGAGGAAGAAATCTGGTGGCACCGCCATGGTGTGGCCGCCGCTTAGCAGCATATGACTGTGAGCATTTGGCCTTATGAGGCCTGTGACTGAATCACAATGAACCGCTCGACAGACACGCAGAGACCCATCAGGACCTGGAGTGAAGCAGAAGGAGAAATAGCATGTGTCTTGATCATTTCCTCCCATTGAAGGGATAGCAACAGTAAGTTTTAAAAAACACATATTTCATTTTTATGAATTATTGTTTGAGAAGAAAATGCATCAGTGTACCTAGAATGAGAGAAAACTTGAAAATACAAGACATAATGTACGGACCTGTGTGGGTGAGAATGAATGCTGTTAAAGTGTGGGTGTTTTCAGAATATAAACCTAATTTTAATATAAGGGAATCTTGTTGTTGCAGTGCACATTTATACCAACAGATGGTGCTCTCTTTCCAATTTTCAAGAACATATGTTTTCTTTTTAATATTTTAGTGATCAAACCCAGCGGTGTTAGACTCACCAAAGATGTGGTCCTTGGTCAGCACAGTTCCAGTGTCAGGGCAGAGCAGCTTGGCCCCTGTACCCTCACCCAGAAACCCCCAGGCCCCCTGACGTTGGCACTCTGCTGACACCAGCTCTCCCATCTCCTCCACCAGGGAGGTCAGCCTCTGAAACAAACTGAAGACAAGAAAGGACAGATTGAAGGGAGATGAGGATTTACTCCATTCTGAATGTTTTTCTGACAATTTGCAAAGGTTGAGTAGAAGATTTACTTTAGCTGGTGGTTGTTGCTATAAACCTTGGACAGTATTCTGGTGCCCTCTCTGAGCTGAGCTGTGAGCAAACTGTAGACCCTCTGCTGGGCCTGCTGCTCTCGCCCCAGAACCTGGAGAAACAAAAAATAAAATAAATAATCACCCATACTAAAACATATTACACAGTTGATAGAGAGAACCACAGCTGAGACAATTGTTAATGTATACATTAATCAGGAGTCATTTTTCAAGCGAAAGAGCTAAACATTTCCTAGTTCCAGCTGCTAATTTATGAGCTATTGCTGCTTACTTAAAGTAAAAACTAAATTAATGGGTTTTGGGCTATTTCTTTAACAAAACAAGCAAATTGGTGGCATCAACCCCGGCCTTTTTTCCACATTGTACATTCTGTACAAATCTACACAGATAAGCATTTAATACCAAAAATAATTAGCAGATTATTGAATACCATTGGAGCCCAAAATATATGAAGTATTTTTTTATATATATCTAGAACACATAAATACACGTATTTCTCTTTTATCTTTAACTGTTCTTGTAAATTAAAGAAAGTATTTAAATGTTCTTCACTTTATAATAGGAAAAGGAAATATGCAGGGGTGGGAATGTTGCGTTATGCACCTGCAGCTGACTGTGGAGCAGAGTCCTCAGCTGTGAGGCAAGAGTCTTCCTCCGCAACACCTCCCTCTCCACCTCCCTCCTCATCCTCTCATAGCCCTCCCCGATCCTCTCCTCGGTGATCGAGCGTGGGTGGAGTACCTGCAGTTTCCCAAGCACTCCCTGATATAGCTCCTTCACCTTCACACACAAAGATACATACATGAAACCAAAATGAATGGCACACAAAAAGGGCCTTCATAAAATTATAGTATCAGATCACACATTTGACTGCACCCTAATGCAGTTAGCACGCATTGTATTGTATTGAAACGGGGGGAAACTTTCTGCTGTCACAGGAAAAGGAAACATCAGAGTGTGTGTGTAACAGAAAGAGGGAGTATCAGAAGGTCAAAACATTCACATGATGTATGTTTATTTTGCATTTAAATTAAGAGCTACAGGCCTCAGATGTGAGCTGTCCCAGCCGTGTGGTGACAGACAGACTCTGTTTGAGCAGGAGGCTGTAGAAGGTGTTGCTGCTGAAAGCCTCCAGATCCACCTGGTGCTCGTAATCCCAGAACTCCTCTAAAGATCCTGCACAGAAATTGGTCATGAGAGAGAAACACAAAGAGATACAGTGAGAGACACAAGTAAATACACATCTCTCATAGATCACTTTTACTGTAATAGCAAGCATAATGTCTACTTTTACTAAATCCACTTTCCAGTACCACAAAAAGCCTCTGCTAGTGTTCTCCCCGGCCAATTTGGAAGTCCCTGTTTTAGCCAAAGCATTTATAAAAATAACCGGCATAAGAGAGAAAATGGTATATGTTCCTCTTGAAATAAAAGCCTATGTCTTATTTTTACGCTATTGAACAGACAAATGAACAGATATATTGTTTTTCGAGGGGGATTTTCAATGTACTGTGGCATTTTAAACTTTTGTTTATCACGGCGCATGATATCAGGAATGTCATAATCGACTTCACAAACGTAATTGGTAGGGTGGGATAAACTGCCAGGGGTCACTGTTAGTGTTATATAAGAGGCCACAGGGGTCTTCAAAGGCCAACACGATATCAGTGTGTTTCTGTGATTATGTAGAGATAGTGTGAACTTTGCGAGCAATTAATTAGCTCAGAGTATGTGTGTTTGTTTGTGTGTGCACTGTGCATTTGAAATTGTGCGTGAATGAATGTGTGTGTGTGTGTGTGTGTGTGTGTGTGTGTGTGTGTGTATCATTGCACCTGGTTGAATGGAGTCCTGTGTCATTCTAGCTTGATGATTTCTGTGAATCTTCCTAAGTGAGATCACCCTTGAGCCTTTTGATGAGTAGTCGTCCATGTTGTAGGACAGCTGCAACAAGCGGTACCGCGCTTTGATTGGCTTCTTCTCAGGCCATCCATATTCACGAAACAGGATCTAAATATGGGATCAAGGGATGAATGTGAAAAAGGTCAACTTTGAACATGTGATCATGTGTGTTTGTACACTGACCAGCAGTGTCACACATAAACAGAGGATGACAACAGCTCCAAATAGCAGTCCTCCGGTCACCAGCCAATCAGGCCTTAGTAACAGGTTGCGTCTCCTACTGATTCCCAGCCTGGTCACATGACGAGGGATGGTGGGGAAAAAGGGGCCGGTCTCATAACACTGACCGCCTGCTGGCATCACCCGCACATACTGAGTAAAAAGAGAACACAAGTGTATTAGTAGTTCTCAACAAGCAAATGCATGTGGAAGCCCTTGTACATGAGTAAAGTGGTAACATGATTTCATTTGCACCTTCATCTCAATTTCTTACATAAAAGGGCTTATGTCTATGATAGGCAGCTACAAAATAAGCACTCAGAAAAGCGGTTTGGAATACAAAATGAAATTTGGTAAGGAATATTGAACGTCAAAAAAGTTAAATGTGTGTTACTCATGATAACTTGCCTCATTATTTCATTTTAGTTACCATGTGTTTGTGGTGTTGGCTGCTCAGTGTAAAAACGTATACTCCAGCCTGGCTGAAGACCAACGCAAAGAAGTTTGGAGGAGTCCAGGACAGAGTCAGCTCTTCTTTCAGCCGTCTGACTGCCCCCCAGTCAAAATCTCTGTTTGTGTTGTATAAATTGTCACTGAAAGACAGGTAGTAAGGATTTAGTCAAAGCACCGTTTCATAGTGTTAAAAATGGACATGAAAATCAAACTATTGTACGCCTGGCATCTGACTTACAGATCATACTGAGGATAGTGATGTGTGTCAACAGTAAACAGGATAACATCGCCCAACTGGAGACACGTTGTGGGGTTCAAAACTCCGGTTACACTCAGTTCTCTTATTTCTTCTTTGACATCACTCTTGTTTCCATCGTTTTCTCTTCCTTCATGACTGATATTTTCAACTTTAGTGACTTCCCAGAGGATATCAAAATCTCTTTCTATAAAACAACAACAGTGCAGTACTTTCATCATGGATTATTCATTTTAATTTGTGTTTTATTCATCAAAAGTTATGGTTTTGCAGTGACAAACCAGCTGAGCTCTGAGTGTTCAGCTCCGCATTCCTCTCTGTGGTAACAGTAAACAGTCGCTGAAGTTCCTTTGGGAGGCCGCTGAGGAGGCCGAGAAAACCCGCCTCTGCAATCAGACAACAAAGGAGAGAAAGATGTAGGAGATGAACGGGAAGAGCGATAGAGAGATACCCAGAAAGCCAATTTGTGTCTCTACCTGTTGTCTGAACAATGTAGACAGCATGTGAGGAGCTTATATGGCTGTTGCACAGAGTTCCATCAGAGTCTGAGCGTTTAAGAAACGTCTCCTGCAGCTTGCCTGAAACACCCATCACCTGAAAGAACAGTGTTTGCAATTAATAGATCACTGCAACACAAAAGACGCTTGTCCTGCGCTTCCACTTCTGGTGTGATAATGCCTGTTTTGTGTAAAGGTTTAGTTCATATGGTCTGACCAGATAATGTTACTTAAACTATTCTTTGTTTATGTAATGGAAATACTGTATGGATAACATGAAGAACAATTTTTGGATACAGGAGGTTCAATTGTATTCCCAAAAAATACTAAAATCACACGTTCCCATTGTATTTCTTCCTATTTAGTGCTTGGAAATGTTCCTCTGTGTGTGTCTTTATCTATTTGATGCTTCTATTCCTCACCTGGTGGCCATAACTCCACACCAGCTCCATTTCTCCATTTGTCCGGCATAGCAACTCCAGTTCAGTAGCTGGCCTTCTCCTACAAAGGCCTCCACACAGAGCTCTTCCAGGAGGCTCTTTGCAAACACACAGACCCAGCTCTCCATCATAACCCCTGTAGTCTTCTGCAGATTGACACACCTGCAGGAAAGCAATGCTGGGATTTAAACAACTCTACTTCTTTTTTAAATGTATCTTATATAATTTATCTGCTTGTACCAGCTTTTTCTGCGTGTTGTATTATTTAAATTCATTTTAGTGGCAGTATTCTAAATGTACGCTAAGTATAAGTGAGTATATAGGTGGAAGGTCATTTGTACCAAAGTCTGCAGGGACAAAAATAAACACTGTATGCAGAGAAAAGTGAAGGCCTTGCACAGAAACAGTCATAGGAAGCACTTTGTGGTTAAATATTAAGTGGGACTAAAACAAGCCTCTACTTGATAAAGTATTTTCAAGTTCATAGAGGAAAGGGCAAAGACATCTAGGTTGTTCTCATTAGCCTCACACTGACGCACACTGACGAAATATACGAGTATATTTCGTCAGTGTGTTCTGTAAACAGATTACTTTACAGTTTATCAAAACCCTCAAATATCATTCAGACAGATATTTGGGTTAAGTGTTAGTAAGTGAATTACACGATTTACTTCTGCTCTACTTTAGTTTGTACGTCTAACTGTGATACATAATTGTAAAAAGTCTAACCTGCTGCATGCAGTGAAGAGACCACTGATATCTGTCCATACAGTTTCCATACTGTGAACGAGTTTTTCCATCGCTGCAGACGTCGTACTGTTTCTGTGCACACACATCTTCGTTGTTAGCAGGTTGGTAGCCGATGGTGCAGTGGCAAAGCCCGTCACTGGTCTGCATAAAAGGAGGCAAGGTTAAAACAAAGTGTTGTATTATGTGGAAGGCATTTCAGTTTGGTCAGGCTGTTAACTCTATTATGCTAATCCGGTTATATAATAATAATATAATAATAAATTGTATTTCTATAGCGCTTTTCTTGAACCCAAAGACGCCTTACATTTGGGAGGGAGGGTAGACAAACAAAATACAGCTTATATAGCATATAGCTGTCCTGACTTTTACATCAGTCAACTTTACAATTATCATCAATATGTACTTCTTACTGGTCTAAGTAGCAGTTGTTGGAACATTTGTAAAACAATGTAATTAGTGTTTTGAGTGAAGCTTACTGAAAAACTGCCAGGTAGCAACAGAGGCTACAGGGCTAGCTGCCATTAAAAAAATAAAAGAAGAAGAAAAAACGAGTCTGACTGAGCATGCGCAGTATTTAACCTTCAATTTTGAAGGCTTTGCTTTTTACTATTTCATGAAGTCTAAAGTTTTAATTTGAAGATTAATACCGTACTTCATTCATTGTTTCCTTTTCTTCACCATTCATTCATTTATTTTTTATGTATTTAGTTCTTGCATCTTTACCCTTGCAATAGTGTGAAAAAATCTCATTCTTATTATGAGTCGATGAGTAAAGGACTTTGCATGTTCCAACAGAATAGGAAACCTGACTCTACTGCGAGGGAACTTGATCTAGAGCTCTTTCAGCTTGAAGCTAGAGATTATACAGTGTAATGTTTTCTCAGTGAAAAAGCTACTTTCATATTGAAGTGAACAATTTATCAAAATATAAGCTTGAGAAATTTAAGTTTTTCTTCAAGTTCATAGAATAAAGACGGTTACTGCAGGGCAAAATACCAAAGTGGGTCATTTCTATTGTAGTTGGCTGTGTTGATGTAAAACATGTCACAAAAACAAGAGGAAACTAATTTGTTGGGCAATGAAAGGGTTGATCCTACTATTGTGTGAAACGTCTTTGTCACCTGGAAAGTCTGTCCTTCTCCCATGCAGATGCAAGTGTCCTGACCAGACAGAGGCTGCTGAGCCACAGGGCTACAGGGCAGACAGGCAGACAGGCCTGGTCTGTGAGAGTAGTGTTGAGGAGGACACTTAAGACAGCTTTCTATGGACACAGCATCAGCTGCTGGTCCATAGGTTCCTTTGGGACAGGGGAGTGGAGTGAAGCTCCCCAAGGGGCAGTAAAAACCTATTGGAAATAATAAAATATATACAAAGAAGTGTCCAGGTTAACATCAAAGTCAGTGTTGTCACCAAACTTGTTTAAAAAAAAGTGGCTAAGCATATGCAGAAAAATAATGTAATGTTTATCTGATTTTTTGTCATGTCATCCAAAGCTGAATGTATGTCAAGATAGCCTACCTGGCTGGCAGGGTGGCCTCTCCTGGACCTGTTGGCTCAAGTTGTTTCCATGAACCAGAGTAAGAACCAAAGCACTCAGCCACCACACACACCTGAAGCTCTTGTCGCATCTCCTCACCATGGTTAATATGTCCACCTGCAGAATTAAAGGACCAGTCCACAAGTAAACAACGTTTTTTTTCCAGACTCAGGGAGAAGTGTTTACATTTTTCATCCAGGATCTGTAAACAGTGTCTTGGTTGCCTGCCTTGTTTGAGTCATAGTCAATAAAGTAGTTTTGGAGATGCTGTTAAAACTTCACTCCCTTGATAAACCTCTCGTGTCTGCTTGTAATGCAGCACACATGCAGTAGGAGAGTTTGTCTGCATAACTTTTTTATGGCACGCTGAATGATTTATGAGGCCTGCGAGGTAAGGTGACAGTGACAGTGGAGGGACTGAATGCTGATGAAAAGTAGCCGGGAAAACAGAGAGTAGGGCTGCCTGGTGCTGCAGGCTCACATTACGGCATTTGTTCTTCTCAGTCCTACCATGAAACTGATTAAAGATTTGGCTTCCAATGTACATCAACGCAGCTTTGCTTTATAGGAGTCTACTCAGCAGTTTGTGCATCACAGCAGCCACTGTATTCACATTGAAATCCACATATCAAGCTCAGATTCAGTGCCTGACTATGCAAACCAGCTGCCACTCTAAACTTCACTTCACATATTGAATATTTATACTGTTGGTCTTTGTGTTTTACTTGATGGTAATAAGAGTCAGGGTCTGTTTGACCCATAACTGACCTGTAATATACAGCAACATATGAAGGTTTGATCTGTTAACTGAAAGTGTAAATGCAGTAATATAAAATAAAAGTATTCATGTACTCTACTTATGTAAGTAACCTGCATTTGCACAAATATGTTACTTGTTTGGTTTAAAGGAAAAATACTTTTGTCAATTTTTTAAAAAGAACGTTTTTTTCTTCATTATGTAAACCTTTGACCCGCAGACAGTTCCACTGATGGTAATCTCTGCACACCTGTGTAAAACAACCAAGGGAAGATTGTTGCCCTTTGCTCCAAATTCAAATAGAATATAATACCTAGCCCTAACTTATTATCATATAAAGTGTATCGAACAGTCCAATCATTTAAAAAATATTGAGAGTTATAATAATGTCTTCATGAACTAGTGTTGCTTATTACTGCATGTGCATCCATGTGTCTAACAAGGTCTATGTTGGAACATACAATATGTCAGCATGGCAAACTGTTCTACAGTTAACTGTAGCCAACAGTGCTGTTTTTATGTACAGTAACCAAAGTCTTACTCACTCTGTTATTGTATTGAAATAAAGTTGGACTTTAGATAAGCGGAATAACTCTTTCATCACGGTAGCCATGGACTTTGATCCTTTAATGACGTCTCGTAAGTTATCTAACTAAACACAGTTCAACTTTCACCCACATTTCCATGTCACTGGGGCACAAAATCCTCCACATCACATTCAGAAATACTCTACTAGTTGCTGAAATACAGAGTATTCACAGATGGGAAATGATTTGTAATATGAAACAATACTATTCATTTTTGTATTCATTAACTATGCAGGCAAATGCAGAAGTGTCATTCAAGACTCAATAATGCACTTAAAGTTGGCTTGATTTATTCGTAAAGATAGAGCACAGAAGACACAGTCTAACATTATCAGTAGTGTTTACTTACTTTCAATTTTACTACTTATTTCCATTCTATCATATTTGTTATCATGGTACTTTCTCCTTTTTACACACTATCCTAATGTGATGCATCCTTATTGACGAGACATAATTACATTCAAACAATGCTGCAAGAATGTTGGTAAGTTCAAACGTGGATGTGTCTGAGTGTGTGTGTGTGTGTGTGTGTGTGTGTGTGTGTGTGTGTGTGTGTGTGTGTGTGTGTGTGTGTGTGTGTGTGTGTGTGTGTGTGTGTGTGTGTGTGTGTGTGTGTGTGTGAGAGAGTGAGTGAGTGTGTGAGGGGTGTTGTGTTCTGCCATTAGTCTGACCCTCCACGTGTTGCCTGTTGACACAGGCAGTTTGGGCTGATGCTCTGATAACAAGGACCTTTATAAGTCAGACGAGAGAAGACGTCCCCCTGCAGACCTAGATCCTCAGGTAAAGGCCAGCCACTTTTTCACATATTAGTCTTTCGCTTGTCTTCTGTCTAGACCCAACAGGGAATGTACATACAATGAATCATATATCATTATTTAATCTGGAAATGTTTATGTTTGTTCTAATATAAAATTGTATGTAACGTTTTTTTTTTTTCTTCTGTTCCTCCACAGAAAGATAAACATGCATCTAAAAGTTGTGATCTTCGCTCTATCGTTCTTGGCAACTACAGGTATACATTTATCTTTAAATACTGTTTACAACAGCCCTTATTTAGCAATGTATTCATTTTTTTAATGTATGTTTTCTTTGTCTTCAGCATACCCTCTCCACCGTCGAACCAGGGAGGCACCCGTGACTGATTTAAAAGACAACCAGTCTCAAGACAAGACAGAATTTACAAAAGATGTTGAGTAAGTTGACTGAACTAAGTCTGTAAACTAATCTAAGACCTTAAAATTCATTTGCAGCCATATGCTCAAGTCATGGTAATATATTTAAAGATAATACAAATGTAAACCCTTATTAATTTTGTACTTTTGTCTCTCTTTGCTCAGTAAAATATACAAGAGCCACATAGACAGCAGTGGCCTTTACAACCATGATGATCAGAGCAAAAACCCTGTGGCAAAGGAGATGCAGCACAAACTCAACCTTGAGTCGGAGCGTCTGCGTACCCGTCTGCACCAAGAGCTGGCCGAACTGCGAGAGAGGTTGTCTCACTCTTCGGACCACCTCAGCTCCACCCTGGCCAGCATGAGGGAGCGCTTGGCTCCCCTCATCCAGCAGCTCCAGAGCTCTCTAAGCAGCAGCACCCAAGACCTGTGTGGCCATCTGAGCCTCTATCTGCAGGGTCTGGAGGCAGCTGAGGCTCAGGCAGAGGCCACTCCGGCTTTGTACCAGGAAGCCTTCCACTGGATGAGCCTAACGCTGGAGCACAGCAGCTCCAAGGTGGCTGACCTCATCAGTGACTTCCATACTAAAACCATTGAGGTGATCAACCATCTGAAAGAGACCAGTGCTAATGAGCAAGAGGCAGCAAAGTCAGACCACTGGCAGGAAATTAGCTCCAGGATGGGACAGGAAGTGAGTTCTGTGAGGGTGGAGGCACAGAACAGGGTGGGGGCTCTCAGAGCAGAGCTTGCTGCTCTGCTCGGAACTTCACGGCCCGGTAAGGCGGAATTGACAGCCAGTATGGAGCGCTTCTGCCAAAATGCAGCCCTGCAGAGCCAAATGTTTCAGGCCCGGATGGAGAGGCTGTTTAAAGGGCTGGAAGATGAGTTGGAGGTCAGAGGAGGCACACGACTGTCTCCTTCTTCTTCTTTTTCTTCTTCTTCTTCATCGTCTGTACAGACAGCTGGACATTTGCAGGAGGACTTCTCAGTTAAACTTTCTGCTCTGCTTGAAGACATTCTGCACTCAGTGTAGTGATAGTCATATTTTTTATAATAAAAATGCCAATAAACTGCTGTTATTATCTTATCAAAATGTATAATGTGAGTAATTTAATTTTAGTTCATTTTTTACAATATATATTATGCAATTTGACATATTTTATTACAGAGTAAGAACTGTTGTTCTGCCACACAGTGGCAAATGTTCAACTCTTGCCAAGTTGGGCAGAGTAGTTTGAATTATACTTGTCTAAGTGTTAGTTGTTAACCATTATTTTTGGTTGTTGTTTGCTACTGTACCAGCACAGTAAGATGCTTGTAAATATTTATGAGTGTTTGGTTTTGATTGATGTATTGGTTTCATTCTATATATGTCAATTAGTTTGTAAATATGTTTACTGTGCAATGTAATGTCAACCACAGAATGCAACGCCAACATGATTTGACTTTTATTTGTAATATTATCAAAACAGATATGACCTATATACTGCAGATTATAATGTGCCCCCAGTGTTTTTTTATATATATACTTTATAAAATATAAGATTCTGTACATGCAAATGTAGAAAAACATAAAATATTAAAATGACTTTGTTCTGAAATGACTTCCATATTTCATGTTTCTTCCTTTAGACAGTTCTGGTTTGCCTGTTCCTTCATAACTGATAAATGAGTGCAGATGCATCAAGTATAGACAGAAGAAGTCATATAAAATACTAATCTTTTTCCCTAGTTCCAAAGGTCACCTGACAAGAACATGTAGTTATTACCGACAAATCATAACATTATCAGATACTTGGTTCCCAGAATAAGTCACAATATAATATGAGGTGACAAGGAGAAGACAATTAGCCAGTTGTCTGTCAGTTAAAAGCACGAGGTAATCCTCCTGCCCAATAAAACTTCTTCAGGGCGAACCAGCCGCCCAGAACCAGCAAGGCACTAGCTGCAGAGCCGAACACAACTCCTACCACCAGGCCAGTCACGTTCACGTCATCCCTCTCTGATGCCACGTCAGAACCTGATGCATACAGATGCAGATCATTGGGATTTCTTTATGAGTTATACACATTCAAGATAAGAACAAGTATTTCTAGTGGTTCATTTGATTACAATATACTCACTGTATGCAGCTGCATTTGGCCTCTCTTTAGAAGGGGTAAATAAAAAAGGGTCATTAAGAAAAAACGTGTTATCATTGTTTAATATATATATTTACTATATAATATATATATATATATATATATATATATATATATTTACTATATAACGTATTATAATAATAATAATAATAATAATAATAATAATAATAATAATAATAATAATAATAATAATAGTAATAATAATAATAATAATAATAATAATAATAATAATAGTATTGTGTTTGCAGGGACTTACCTTCTCTGCCAGTGTAAAGAGGTCCAACTGAAATAGTTGCAGATTCACTGCTTTCTTTCCCATAAGGAGTCACAGACCTTTTTCTTCTGACATTACAGGCCTGAAAAACAACACACGTGCATTTGGGTTTAGTTTAATCCATTTTATATAGTGTCAAAGTATGGCTTCTCTATACAAAATGGAGATGTTAGAAATAACACATGTTTTGTTTTATGGTCAAATTGTAAAATATTCACTTGAAAGGCAAATGTGGGTTACCTGGTGGCCCGGGATTCAAAAAAGGTGCCAACCATCAGTCAGAATTTCCCCAAAATAATGTGACTCAATAAACTTGGTTGCAGTTTCCTGTCTTTCCGTACATTTCCTGTCACCTATACTTTTACTGTCTCTTCAATACTACAGATAAAACAAAAAATCATTTTTTATTTTTATATCTATTTCTTTCATTACCAAGATGCAAAAAACAGGTCAATTCTATACTTCAAATCTTTATCCTAAAATATAGTTTTGGCTAGCCTTTGAAAGCTGATTTAGCATTACCTTCTCATGTCTTTAAAGCAAAGTCATTTGTTCTTGACTTCTCAACTTACAGACAGCAGCTCTTGGCATTTGCTTGGTTCACAGAGTCTTAGTATGCAGTGCAGATAGATGCTGGACTTTGCCTGGTCGCGGTGCTGAACAAAGCGGAAGGCCTCGAAGTTAAAGCGGGCGACCTTGGAAAGGCCATTGCTTGTCACAGATGTCCTTTGGTCCAATGAACAGCTTGTGGAGAGTATGGAGATTATTTAGATACACTTTATATTTAAAAAAAAAATAGATGTGGAGTTTAGTTTATTTCCCCATGCATACAGTATAGCAGAATTTACACTAATGATGCATGTGTGCGTCCATACCCGGTGAAGAAGTTGTGCTGCTCACTGTTCGACATGTTGTAAGCAGTGGGAGTGCCAAAGCAGTGATCCAGCAGTATATAGAAACTGAAATAAGGACAGTGGGCCAATGAAGTACTGTTTGCTACAAGAAAACAATTTTCCCATTTTTATTTCACTATCCGTTTTTTCTGATAAGCACATTCACTCTGTGCATCCAGTAATCTGTCACTTACGTTCCTGTGAGGTTAACAGCCTTGACCTCCACATGGATCCTGGTTCGGAGCTCAAGTCCTGTCGAAGGTACTACTAAAGGGTAGATATTGTCTGAGTCCTGGAAAAATAAGATGTTGAGATAGTGGGATACATCAAGTCAAATATGTTTATAGCAGAGTAGAGTTTGTCTAAGGCCACTAAATGCCAACTTACATTAAAAACACTCATTTTAAGTGTATCAATGAAGGTTCCATTGTTATCGCTGGTCGCAACAGACACTGAGGAGCTGAAAAATCATTGAAAGAAATGCCTGTGTTTATGTTATGTCTCAAGCTAAAGTGATAAGGTATATTAACAACACTTTTTTAAGATGGTAAGTTACTCACGCCACAATCTGTGTGTTGTTGATCAGGTATTCCAGCGGGTATCGGCAGGAGAAGTGATAGTAGAGGTCTGTGGAGTAGCTGATCAGCCCCAGGTCAGTTCGGGGTGTGTCAATGAACCCGGTAATGATAACTGACTGGATACTTGAAAAGCTGCTGAAGGGACCTGAGGGGTCCGGGGCCTCATCCACAATCTGCAGAAACGCAATTGTTATATAGTCCACTAAACTGCAACATCATCCTTAATAAAGTGATATGTATCTCTAAATCCCTGTTGCAGTAATATCACTATTTGTCCAGTAATTTAACAATATTCAACGTCCTATACTAGAGACCTTCTGACCTGCAGAGACTGGCGGCAGGGATTCTGCTGACTGTCGTTAACAGGAAGCTTGTAACGGATAACTGCAGGGTCCACACTGTTGTCGATGGTGCCCTGGCACTCGGTGGTGTTGTGCTTCCCGTTCAGAGCCAGGTCTGTGGTGTTGAAGCCTGCCCACTGAGCTGTGCACAGGTTGATCTCTAGCGTGATCATTCTGGCCCCACATTCAACTGTCATGTCTGAATTGTCTACGTAAGAAAAGTAAAAAAGAAAAAAGACCAAGAATTATTTAATTATGTGTGATTTTTTCCCATTTTGAATCAAAGGGGAAATGAAGATTATAATGCAGTTGCTGATGCAGAGACAGAGATGAGGAAAATAAATGTTACATTGAGCAGGAAGAATAGGTAATTTTCTCATTTTGTGATTGTTACTTAACACGATCTGTTCTAATTTGTACATAATGCACGTTAAAACCAAACTATCTGGCTCAGTGAAAGAGATATTCAGCCTACCAGGGATCCTCTGGTAGTCAGACGAGCAGTTGTTGAGACACACAGCTGGCTGCAGGAGCACAACCAGCAGAGGGAGACAAAGATAGTGACTCATGCTGTCTGGAGCAGGGTCAGTCAGATCAATAAATCCTATATAAATAAAGAAGAAATCAATATCAACAACAATGAAAACAATAAAGTAACATTAACAACTGAGTCAGATCAAAAACACAAAAGGGATCATTTAGCAAAACACAAATTGGTGGTGTAAATATAGAGAGCTGATCTTACGTTAGCTGGTACCTGAGCAGTTGTCACATAAGGAGTTGTGCAGTGTGGCTTTTATAGTATTTGACATCCTCAAGACACCTAAAACCATAGAGGTGGGACTATCAAGCCCTCCCTTCATCTAATGATATACCCTTTTGAACACACACACACAAACACACACACACACACACAAACACACACACACACACACACACACACACACACACACACACACACACACACACACACACACACACACACACACACACACACACACACACACACACACACACACACACACACAATCCATGTTTCTGTGACTCCTGATTTAGACAGCAGCAGATTCTGGCAGTGTTTGCTTTCAGATTTAAACCGAGCAGATTAAAGTGTCAGTGGGATTTGATACATATCGCTCAGGGTAACTACAACTGCTGTTTTAGGTTTCTCGCTTAAAAAATGACTATTGAGAGGGAACGTTATAGCTGCTGGCTAGATGTGCTTAACCTAAAATCATATAATCATAAAAGCTATGTACATGCCTAGTACATACACTTTGAAATTCAGAAAAAGGAAATGTATTTTGAAACTATCAACATAATAATTAGGCATGATCAAATTTCATCCACATTTCACTAACTTAACCTCAAACCTGCAGATGAGCATACATGAACACCATTTATGCTTTTCCTAATTACACTGTATTGATATCTTCTGTAATGAATAACTGAGATACTGTACACCATTACAAATAAGTTACAAATCTACCACATTGCACCAAAAAACAAGTACATTTTCCAAAATCCTTGAGCAAAGACTCACTGTCACGAATAGAACACGTTTTTTTTTTTTAGAATAAAACACCTTGAATGCTTGAAAGGTGATCATGTTCGCCACAAGCGATGAAGTCCTTAGCCTGCCAGGATTAACCTTATTTTCTTTCCTTTGCATGACACACATCACCCCCTTTTGTCTCCATAGAACTGCATTACACGTAATGTATACAGCTATAGGCCTCAACTGTTGCCTCTCTACTGAAAGGCGCCATTGTCACTCAGACATGTGAAAAAGGAGCATCCATGTTTTTGTGCCCCTGGTGAGAGAAGACATTTGTTACACTATCCACAGATGCGTCACTTTTACATTCTCTTCGGTCCTCGTCTGTGTTCAAGGATTTTTCCTCCCAGGACACCTGTTTGGAAACAAATGGTCGGCTTCTCTTATTAACTCTAATCCCATACTTCGTTTCATGTTGCTGTAATTCCCCTGCATGCATAGCCAGACACAATGTCTGGATGGAGATATCTGAAAATAATGCTAACCTGTTGGGTCGATGGATTTGGACAAACCCTTGATATATAATCATGTAAACATCTTACAGCACAGTTTATTTTACAGCATATGGCATTTTGTCACTCTCCAATTATAAAAACATGTATCTCCAACTATAGGGATTTGTTATAGATAACCAATGATTGAGAGAATGTCCCTTCTTCAGATTAAACATAAAGTGTACATTAACTTTAGGGCAGTCAACGTTAGATAGAGCAGGCTGCCAGTGGGATACAACAAGGACTGTGTATCTCTACTGGATCATTTTACAAAGAGGAGAAAGGGTCGCTGACATACAATCACATTAGAAAACAATGAAAAACGGGCCCAGGGCAGGACACCACACTGAACAAAAATATAAACGCAACACTTTTGTTTTTGCTCCCATTTTTCATGAGATGAACTCAAAGATCTAAAACATTTTCTATATACACAAAATAACCATTTCTCTCAAATATTGTTCACAAATCTGAAAAAATCTGTGATAGTGATCACTTCTCCTTTGCCGAGATAATCCATCCCACCTCACAGGTGTGGCATATCAAGATGCTGATTAGACAGCATGATTATTGCACAGGTGTGCCTTAGGCTGGCCACAATAAAAGGCCACTCTGAAACGTGCAGTTTTGCTTTATTGGGGGGGTCTGGGGGGGTCAGAAAACCAGTCAGTATCTGGTGTGAGGGGTAGGGGTAGTATTAGGGTAATGGGTAATGTTGTGAATTGAGTGGCCTGTGTTCGTCGTCCATAACATACGCCTGCCCATACCATAACCCCACCACCACCATGGGCCACTCGATTCACAACATTACCCTAACCCTAACCCTACCCCTCACACCAGATACTGACTGTTTTTCTGACCCCCCCAGACCCCCCCCAATAAAGCAAAACTGCACGTTTCAGAGTGGCCTTTTATTGTGGCCAGCCTAAGGCACACCTGTGCAATAATCATGCTGTCTAATCAGCATCTTGATATGCCACACCTGGGAGGTGGGATGGATTATCTCGGCAAAGGAGAAGTGCTCACTATCACAGATTTTTTCAGATTTGTGAACAATATTTGAGATAAATGGTTATTTTGTGTATATAGAAAATGTTTTAGATATTTGAGTTCATCTCATGAAAAATGGGAGCAAAAACAAAAGTGTTGCGTTTATATTTTTGTTCAGTGTATGTAGTTTAGTAAGAAAGAAGATATACTGGGAAGGTTTGGATGACATTATACTGTACTCTTTCAGCATGTACAGTATAGTAAGGCAGATGATTAGATTTGAATTGAATAGTAAAAAAAAATAGTTGGGGGAGGAAATATTCCTCTCATGACATATTGCTCTCATATACTTTTCTCCAAAACAGCGCTGTGAACGATACTACAATTAAGAGTCCTGCTTTGGAAAAAAACTTAAAATAGCTTCAAAGTAAAAGAAAAAGTACTAAAGTATCATAATCAAAATATATTTAAAGTTAAAAGTGTATTCATTATGCAGAACAATGTCCCCTGAGACTGTTTTCATAATTGACCATATTTGATTGGTAATACTGATGCATGGGATAGTGTTATAGCTGTTGCTATACTCTACAGAAAGTAGTCAGGTATTTCCAGTAGTTTCTAACATAGTTGCCACGTCCCTCAGTACTAGTGACTCAAGACAAATCAGAGGGGTCTTGACGTGGGGAGGGGAAAAAAGACCTGCAACTGAAGTTTGTAATTCTTTATTTTTTGTAATAAATACTGGATGTTTAAGGCAGTTATGTAAATATAAAAAAACAATAAATAAATTAAAAGGAGAAATATATCTTTGGTGGAACAACATGAAAAAGACAAGGAGCCACAGCAAGACCATAATGTTTCATAAACTGTCACTGTTTCAAGGGATTGGGAAATATTTCCCTCTGAAATCAGTATCAGTAAGTAAGTTAAATACTTGGGTAAATGTACCACTGGTGTCATTCAACAAAAACGAATTTCGAAGCGAATGGGAGTTGCTTCTTATTGCCCCATTTGATATGGAGTTTGGTGTCATCTGCTGGCCAAAATTAAACAGAGCTCAATTGCCTTGGGACTCGTGATTCATCGGGGTTGCTGAGTGCAACCAAAAAGAGACACAACATCCTTCTTATTGAACAGACAACAATGACAGCCATTGTTTCTATATATCCATTCCAGTAAACGAGAAAAAGCACAAATAATGTGGAATAAACAAATAAACAAATAAATATGTATACATTGAATCAAGAAATCACACCAAATACCAAATCTGGATTACCAATTTACCAGAAGAAATATACCCCTTTTAAGTGTAGTATCAACTAACGATATTTTTTTGGCTTTAATGTTGATCAATATCCATATATCGAGGTTCTGGAAGAGGGTTTCCTTGTCGAAATATAGTTTGAGGAAGCTTTCATTTTTTAACTAACATTGTGTTCTTTACTAATATAAAAAACCTGCATGCATTTCACAGAGAGTAGGAGAAACAGGGCTTGCAGGCAAGTCAATTTTTGCCTCAGGGTATCTGAGCGTGTTTATCTGACAATGTGTCTAGTCCTGAAGGGATGTGCCTCTCTACAAAAAGACCTTCCAACTGCCATTATTGTTCATTGGGCTATTTCTAAATGGCTACCTTTTTAATTATTATGGCCACTGTGGTTGTTGATGCATTTTTTCAAATGCATAAACCACATTCAAAATGTTTACGACAACATCTGGATACACAGTTTAACATTACTGTCAAGGTCATGCTGTGAAATGATCTGTGGTACATTCCTGATTAGGACAGATACTCTTTAAAACAGGACACACACACAGCTCTTCATCACATGAGAAGCATTTGCATAAATCTACACTTAGTTTAACAAACTTGAGTGACTTTTATAGACCAAAACAAGGAAAAACAATTCAAGGTCACTCATGACGAGCATCCGGAGGCTCAGTCTGATAAAAAGAAGACGCATGTCGCACCTCCTTGTGTTAAAAGCAGGAAAGAAAACAGATAGACAGATGGCCTGAAGCCAGGTAAACTGCAGACAAATAAACAGCCTGTGATTGTCAGTCGTCTCGGCTCTCCATGGAGAGGAGCTGGTGTTTATTACTCTCCTTCCAAGGTCATCTGTTGGTGGATGTTGTTATAAATTATACAACACAAGATGAGGATAAACTGCAGGTTGTGGTGGGATTATAGCTGACTTCTGTTACTGTTACAAGTCTAGAATTGTGTGCCTCTGACATTTTTGAAATATTTGATCATTCATCCATCATTTTGTGACAGCACTAGCCAAAGCCATAGCATAAACACATGTGTATCTCAGTATTGTAATGTGGTGCTGCTGACAAAAACATAATAGTCAACAGTAACTGAAGCAGGCCGATGTTTAACCTGACAGACTTCCAGTCTTTTACTCTGATATTTTTGATAGGCAGTGTAAAATCAATATTTTTGTTACGTAACCCATTAAACTGCTCCAAAGTTTCCCAATCACACATATTTTGGAAATGAAGCAGCATTGCCTGGAAACTAAACCAAAGCAATGAACAGGAAGCATGGTTCTGAAAAAAAAAAAATCTTTCCGCTTCCTTCTCTGGTTGCATTCCTGTTCAAATCTTTCTCTCTCCTCCTCTTAATCTCTCTGTTCCCATGTCACTTTTTGTCCTTGCTGTATCTGTCTCTGTGTTTTCAGCGTGTGCTTTTTAACACTTACACTAAGACATGCACTTCAGACATGTTGTTATAGTGCTGCTAAAGTGCTGCTAAACTCACATCAAATGAGATGAGTATGTTCACCAGAAAAAAAGGAAAAATGTAGTTGTGCCTTTAAAAACGCACCATTATTGTATTGACCTTGTGTCTGTTTCGGATTCCTCGCTTCATTTTCTCCTCTGAGCTCTTTTCCCCAGACAGCACTTAATCTGTGTGTGTGTGTGTGTGTGTGTGTGTGTGTGTGTGTGTGTGTGTGTGTGTGTGTGTGTGTGTGTGTGTGTGTGTGTGTGTGTGGGTGTGTGTGTGTGTGTGTGTGTGTGTGTGTGTGTGTGTGTGTGTGTGTGTGTGTGTGTGTGTGTGTGTGAGACAGAGAGATACATATTATTTATTTTAATACAGGAAGCATGATGCATGTTTGGAACAAGGTACTCTATTCATACCATAATGACATTACTACATGTGAAGTGGGATTTTCCTAATTAGGAAAAATACACAGGCTGTACACATTCATACTTTTGTGGTTTGAGTTTACGTAGAGAGTAAAGAACCACTGAAAATCCACAAAAGCCTACTTTCTGTTCAAAGCTAAAATCTTGGACAGTGTCACTCTTGTTTTTTTTTCTCCCAGCCAGACGCCATATACACGCCTCCACTAGTAGTCACCCCACTTCTGACTGGACAGACTAGACTACTCTGCTGCCTCTATCTTTAGCCTGTTTTCATGCAAATATAACGCTAAACTCGTTAAAAACTCAACTACCCTTGACTGTAACACTAAGTGTGCTACACATTCGGGTGAACATGTAGCAATGGATTTTATGAAGCTGTTTGGCACCGTTATCGCCGTTTTTTTATACCCTGGATCCTCGTCCAAAATAAATGGTAAGAATTCACTTCGGAGCAAAGACACAACACTTTTAAACTTTGTTGAAAGTGTATTACGGTATATTTTATTTTCAAGTTAAGACTTCGTCATCTTGTTTTTGTATAGATAACGTGTTTTTTTGGTCTTTGAAGTTTGCATGCAGTGCTGAACGACGCTTTGCATTTTTGAGAGGAATCCAACATTATACTTTCTTATTCTTTAAAAAGTAGTTTAGAGTAACGAGGTTGATACCAGAACCATCGTAAAGGAGCCTAAAGCAGTATACATGATGTGAGTTATAATGATAAACAGACTGCAGTCACACAGCAGCACGTGATGTTGTGGAAAATGAACATCAGCAGGGTGTTTGGGATTCAGATCACAGATGTCGCAGTTTTTGTACTTTAAATGTTAAGACTACTTTACAAATGATTATGCTACTGACTATGATATTAACAGCCACACAGATGTCCCTTCTAACTACAACATTAGACATCTGACGCCAAAATATATTCAGAGCACTGTTTTTCAATGTTTTAAGGTTGACATAAAAATGATAAAAGTCTGAGATATTTGTCATTATTGTATTGGTTGTTTATGTTTGCCCTCTCTGAAAAAGTAACATTAGAAGCAATTCTCATCATCGTCAACTCATGTTTTTCAACTGAAAACTACATATATGTGATATGACATCAGTGCCTTAAGACATTCAGACAACAAACTTCAGTTCTGAGTTCCCCCTCAGCAAACCACTGCATTTGACGTGGTCAGAATCTAAGTATATTACAACATGTCAGAGTTTACCAGTACTACATCCAAACTGTTTTAAATGGCACAAAACCAATAACGAAGAAAACAACACATATTTTTCCAGCCCTTAAAAATATAGGTTTTACACTGTAATTGCACTACCATGTTTACTCTACCCACGCTGCAGAAAAGTGTGGGAACACTTTGGCAAACATCTCTGGTTCCTTATCTGTTTTGTTGTAGGTTGTTGATTATCTTCCTGCCACGTAAGGGCCACAGGAAGTCCTCAGAAAACAAAAAAATCCTTTACTAATCATCTTGTCATGTTCCCTATTTTGACTGTGGTGTTCAGGCCAGAGGATCTGTCGGCGCGGGACAGAGCGCCCATGCTACAAGGTGTCCTACATCCAGGAGAGCAGGCGGAGGCTGACCTTTGAGGATGCCAGGCAGGCCTGCAGGTCGGATGGAGGAGACTTGCTCAGCATTGAAACAGAAAGCGAGCAGCGCCTAATGGAGAGGTTCATACAGCAGCTGCAGGCTGGAGATGGAGACTTCTGGATTGGCCTCCGCCGCAGCCCACAGCGATACAGGCCCGGGAGCACAAGCCCAGGGTGCCCCTCGCAGTACTATTGGCTGGATGGAAGCAAGGCCAAGTTCAGGTCTTTTGCTTTCTTTTTTAAAACCCTCTCACTATTTATGTATGAATGTTTTGGGTGCATCAGTGGAAATTGTATGAGGGATCTTCAGGGACACAGAACACTAGAAAATATCGGCCAAAAAAAGGCTGCAGTTCAGTTCTGATTTAAAAGGTTATTGGATAAAGTCATGCGTGTGGGAGTGATGGAATGTCTGCAGTCCTTTGAAAGAATTTTGGAATTACATATTCAGAGTCAAAACTCTGTATGCTATAATGCGAGTTCTGCAATTTAATAGTGGTACATGTCTGATCCTTTGCATCCTTTTTTCTATAGGAACTGGCATTGGGATGAGCCATCGTGTGGTGTTGAAATGTGTGTGGTTCTGTACTACCAGCCCTCTGCACCGCCCGACGAAGAAGGACATTTCCTTTTCCAGTGGAACGATGACAACTGCAACTCCAAGAACAACTACGTCTGCAAATACCCAGAAGGTGAGCCAGGAGATCACTGACACTGCTGTTGTACTTCACTGCTCTAAAATGAACAATAACATAAAGCACACTTTGTATTGTTTTGTTCTTATGTCCAAAATAATATGAGTTGTATCTGTCAAAACCCAATACTTAAATATTGCCACCAATGTTTATGGCTACATACATTAAACCTGCAATGTGCAATTTGGTTGTTAATTGCCTGAATACAATTAATTATCTTCAAAACTAAATATATGCCTGTGTTAGGGTATACTGTATGTCTAATTATTTATTTTTAAATCAACCTATTGTTTTAAATACCTATTAAGAGATACAAAAAATATGAAACAACCCTTTACTGAATGTGTGTTCATAATTTGTATACAACCATAGACATATGTTTAACTTTATACAGTTAACTTCTCTGAATATCGTTTGAGGCTCAACTATAATTTTGTTTAATTAATTTTCACTCCTTTTTTCTAATGGTTTATCCTGTTCTTTATCTTGTATCTATTTCTGTCTGATGTGAAATGTTTCTTGAATGTGAGCTTTATATATTGAATCTTTTTATGCAGAAAAAGTACAAGTGTTTACCGAGGAAGGGGACAAAGCACATGCAGGTACAACATGCACTTGACTATCCAACACACACTCTCCTTGTATGCATGATGTTGCTGTTGCTAAAGTAAACAAGGGACTTATGATGTGTTTATAGTTAGATTAAGAAAAGACTAAACCATCACATCACTATTTTTTTGTCACTTAAATGCAAACCTCCCTCTTGTGTAAATGAAGAGAGGTCTTCATTTACACAAGAGGGAAGTTTGCAGTGGTTGAAATGTATGTGAGGTTTGGGTTGTTTACCCTATAATCTGCAGGTCACTTCAATCAGCAAAGTACATGTATGATGTATTCAGTTTTGTAGCATGTATATCTTTACGTTTCCATTGAAGAAAGATGTTAATCAGGAAAAAAGTGAATTATCAGTGTAAGTATTCACCTACATTCTGAGAAAACATCAAACTACCAACAATATCTACTTCAAACTACTACTTTAGACTAATGTGCAAAAGGATGCATGTGATCAAATGAACTACTAACAAGGACATTTAAATGGGAACATTCTAACAATTAGGTACAATACATAGAATTTGTTATACATTAGGCTTTTAACATCTACGCTCTTACTGACTCCTGCTTTGATTATTTCTTTTGGTAGAAATCAAGAGTATACATTTGCAAAAAAATATAAACTGATGATGGTCATTTTTTTTCTGATTGTTCTAGTTCCATCTCTGAGTCCAAACGTTTCCTCAACTACAGAAAGAGATGAGAAGATAAAAATAGGACTACCAGAGTCATCAGGTAAGAAACAAATCTAAAACATAGATTAAATTATATTTTATTGTTGATCCTTTCACGAGAGTGGAAGCCCTTTATGTTTTTAGGGGAAGACATGCCCTCTGACATGCCCTAACTATTGAAGGATACAAGTCTTTGTTCTAAAGCCATCCTAAAAAAAAGTTGTGCTCTACTAAGAAGTATTCCTCTTTCCTTTGCAGTGTCTTTCTCAGAGAACACCCTGTATGTCTCCTACATCCTGTATGCAACTATTCCTGCTCTGCTGCTGCTGCTGTTTGCAGCTGCTGGGTTCTTCTGCTACAGAAAGCATGCCAAGAGGTAAAAGTAGAAAAGTAAAAGCTGTTCTACAAAAAAGAACAATACCATGTACTTATCTGTTGTACTTCAAATATGAAACGAGATGTTTCCAGATCAGAGATTACAATGACATATTAAGAAGCTTTTTAAAAAGGCTAAATGGCCTTTGTTCTGCATGAATTAAGTCATTAATATAGTTGTGTGATATGCATTATTGATTATTTAATAGGTCACATCAGTACAGCTCTTCAACCTCTTCAATGTAAGCAAAATTGTTTTCAGGTTATATACAGTATAACTTATAAAGTACACTTATGGTGCCTTTGGTCTGAGAAAAGTATGCTTTTGAAAACGTATAGCATAATGTGTTTGCTCCCTTTGAGTGGCCTGTACAGTAGGAATGTCTAGGATGAGCAGCACAATGCATTGATCCTATTTTAATGTATTTATTTGTTATATTCAGGAGGAACACAAAAACCGATGGCTACCCCAGCCGATCCAAACCGTGGAAGACAACAACAGCTTCTCCTTATGCCGTACAAGGACCCTACGCCTTCAGTGACATTACCAAACTGCCCCACACTGCTCTGGACAGCAGCATGCCGGCAGACATCATGAAAAAGTATCCTTGTGCTCCTTCCCAGGAATCCCAGTGTGACGATTATGAGAATGTGTCATGCGTGGTAAAGGAGAGTGGCTTTGTGAACAATGACATCTATGAGACCTGCAGAGGTCAGAGCCGGCATGCTGGTTGGGTTGAAAATGAGATTTACGGATAAAAAAATGTGGTCTATGTTAGTGTCCATCAACCTTATACCAACTATCTACCCAGCTAGACACAGGAACACCCTGCTCTCCATCCCTTCATTCCTGTACTATACACCACATGCTGGTGTGGTGCAGGATAACTAAACACGTGGCTGTGTTGGCCTGAACTTATGTTCCAAAAACTTTTCACCAGTGTGTATGTATCTCCAGTTTTTGCATTCTGAAGCAGCCAGCATTAAAATCTGCAAGTCAGATAAATTCTTGAAGCGGGGCATCCCAAAGATTTGCCAATTGTAAGGCTAATTGTGAAGATGTGAATATGAGCATGGCATAAGGTTACATTAAATGCTAGTCTATTCCCAATACGTTTTATTATTAAACTAGACAAAGCTTCAGCAGAAATGTTAGCAGCCCTGTGACACTGTCCTTGTTCACTGTCACGTGCTAACAAAGGCTATTGATCAAATGCTGATGTTTCATAGGTGCACTGCAGAGAACACCTGAGGCTCATGGGCATGTCAGATTAGTCTTTCAGATAATTGGTAACAAACTAAAGGAATTCTTAGATTAAATGTTTGTGTATTCAATTTAATAGATGTTGAGACACTTTTCTTAGAAAAACACAAATATCACCCTCATGATGGCGCTATAACATTAACATACATAATCTGGACAAATTCTCCAACAAAAGATGTCAGCAGCACGAAGGCTTTGGCTTCAAAGAGGCATTAATGAACTAAAATAAGCCATACTGATTCAGGTCAGGTTTGCTGAGCAGTAGTGCTGATATATTTGGCATGGATTTTTTTACTAACTCTAGGAATAAGTGCAAGTTTTGAGGACTCACGCAAGGTTACGCATCTCTAAACAATCCAAAATTAAACTACTACCTTTTTCCACTGACGTCAGATATTATGAAACACAAGGACAAAAAGATCCTTTTGTTTTACTATATGGCCGTGGAGTTGTTCTATTTATGGGCTGTTCTGACCCTTTCTCTATAACTGAAGAGTGGTGTCAGCTCAGTGTAAGGCTTCCTGTTTGGACTCTGATGACCGGGAACAGGACAACGCATGTGGAAACACTGATGACTGAACTTTGTTGATCCCAGTCAACCTCAAAGCTGCGGGCTTTTCTCGACTCCACCTGACCGTGTGGGAAACTAAACCATCATCTGCGTATTTCATGTATTCATTAATCAGTGTTGTGTAAAAGCATATGCCTTTCTTTTATCTGCAAATAATCATGGACATACATCTGAACACAAATGCCTGTGTTCTTTGTGAGTGGGCTGCGAGGTATGTTTTTTGGAAAGATAAAGAAAGCCCAGTAAGGAGAGGCTGACTGTGTTCTTGGAGAATCTTAGACAGGAAATGCCAAAAGCACATCTGGAACTCTTACATTCAGGAAGTGTATGCGTGACAGCAGAGGCCTTTGGAGCGCTGCTCTGCCTGCCCGCTTAGTAATCCTCTGCTCTGTGTTGGTCTGTCACTGCATGAGCTGAAGCAAACCACTGCAGGGTGTGAATGCGTGCTTCATTTCTAACATGACATGATCTTCGGGTGTCAAATAAAAGTTTGGTTGCAATGTGTTGTGGTTTCATTACTTTTTTAATTATTATATGAATATGTTCAAATGTGTTTGTACCTTTATATATGTGTTGGGGAGTGTCTGTGTCATGTTAGATGTGTGTGAATATAAATGTAAAGCAGAAATACCACCTCTGAACAGTATTAGTAGCCTTGCTGCAATTTGCTATTTTTGCCAACAGATGGCGCTGTTATACACGTAGCTGACCAAATTGTGTTTGTAGCTGATGAAATGTCTAGTATCACATAAGCTCCTGCCATGTTTCATTATACAATGTTTTATATTATAGTAAAGAGATTCGTAATAGCAATTTCAATTTATCTGGATTATATGACTAGATTTAGAAATCATGTGAAATGTACTTTTTTCTATCTTATATTAATTCCATGCATATTATGTTAGGCTATTTTCTTCATTGATTCTTTTAGATGCCTTACTATTAACAAGTAAAGGTGCCGTTTCAGGGGGATTTAGAATTCATTCTATTACGATTTAATAATAAAATCATGTTTTCTTTGAGTCTCTGCCGACTCAAAGCCTAACATACACCTGCAGCACGAAACTTAAAAGTGACCTAAGGCTAAGCGTGCAATCAAGCAGGGCAGGCAAGCAAACAGATTTCAGAATAGCAATTTTACCGGTTGACGTAAGAGGTGGGTCTGGTTGTCTTGGCAACCAATTGGCACTGAAGTGTGGAGCACCCGGTGGCCCCGCCCCCTGTACAAATACCCCTATGCCTCTGACGTCAATACAC